AGAGGCGTCTGGTACTAATAGCATGGCTGACGTTTGCCGGAAAAGAATTGACCGCGGTCGGTGCAGACATTCCTTTTGGAAAGAATTACAGTGCTGAAGATCAACCCGCCCTTATGGTTGTCGCACTCAAACGTTCACCTGTGCATGAATGTCCCGCAATCTGGGCCCTCAATAATGCCATTCGTGCAGAGAGTTGATGGTCTCTGCGGCTCACCTCACTTCCCTTCCTTCCGCGAAGATCATGGACCTACGTGAGCGGGCGCTGCACCTTGGTCTCGCTCTTGCCGAGCACGCCCTGGCCGGCGGTCTTGCGGGTAGCGCTCCCCAGAACATTATGCCAAACCGGCATGGAATGCCTCCTCCGCAGACTCCCAATCCCGAAAGACGGCGGTCATCCCGCAGTCGGCGCAGGCATCGCGCTGGTCGGTCACGTCGGCGCTCCCAAGGCCCGGGACGCAGACATGATCACTCCCACGGGCACAGATCCCGCAGCCATCAACGCCGTCATCGTGGAGAGGATGATCGTGGACATCGTGCCTCCCCCGGCGTGCGTGGCAGCCCGCCTCGCACGCGGCCCTCCCTCCCGCACGACCCTACTCGCGGACGACATTGCAGCCACGGACGCCGTCCTCGTGGAGAAGATGATCGAGCACGTCGTGCCTCCCACGGCGTACGCGGCAATCAGCCCCGTACGCGGCCCTCCCCAATCCCCCGTAGCACCGGTCAGCCTGCCAGTGCAAATGTGCGGGCAGGAGCTCCTGTCCCAAGCAACCGTCCACTGACCGCCTTTTCCACCCCTCTCACATCACAGTTGCGTGGCAAGGGACGTGGCTCTTCTGGTAAGGGAGCGGGGCGCCAACGAGGCAGAGGCCGTGGAACACCGCTGGTCCCAGCCATGGCACACTCCATCACTGCAGCTCGGCATGCCGCAACCAATGATCATCCTCTAACATCTGCTCTCCCTGTTGCCACCTCTGAAGCAGCCCCAGTGGGCTTTCTGGTACGAGGGGTAGGGGAAGAGTCGCTGGAAGGTGCCATCAACGGCGTGCTATCTGTATCACCCACCCTCTCTGAAGTGTCTCGGGATTGGATTAGGCTCCCGCCTGATGGCAGCGGACGAGGGGTGTGCCTCATGCTTGCGCACCCCCGTTTCCGGGAACGAGATGTGCTCGTGCAAATCATGCAGGAGCTTCGCTCACATGCTGTCGTGGGTCGCACCACTTCAGAACGAACCGTTGCTATTGCCACCGATCATGGACTGGTCCGCCTCAGCCTGTCTCGTGACGCCTCCAACTGTGTTGCGGCGGGTACGGCGCCCCCACCCATCCCAGTGCCATTGGACTCAACAGCCGCGCCTGCTTCAGACCTGTCCACGCTTGAAACCAGCACAGGGGCGACCGAAGGCGTGGAAACTGGTGCCAATGCAGTGCTCATGCCGGACCCGCCTGCCGCGCCCATGCCAGTGTCTTCTCCTGTGGAGGGCGAGGCCGCTGCATCAGCCTCTGCCCCGACACCTGCTACTGAAGCACCCGAACCGCACCCTGTGTCATCGACTCCGGTTCCTTCAGCCACTCCCGTGGTTGAGGAGCGTGCTATCGAGCCCAACCCGGCAGCTAATGGAAACCGCAACATATCGGTGCGTGTGCGGGAACGGGACTTTGAAGTGGCAGGAGTGCGCACTCTCAGGGAGTCAAGGGACTGGCAGTGTGCAGTGTGCCGTGCTGATATGTTAGTCGGGGAGTCAGTCGCGGTAACGCTCTGCATGCATCACATTCATACGGAATGCCTCGAACGTTGGCTCACTCGTGCAACCCAGCCCGAATTGCTTTATGCAGCGAGTGAACCCGTGGTTCGCTGCCCGGAGTGCAATGCGAACCTCCTCGCGCTCGTCGCCCCCTGAGAGTTGCTTCCTAGGTCCTTTCGGTACACATGTTCATGTTGTGTACACAGGCCGCGGCTGGTTGATAGGCCGCTGGACATGTGTACATACTTGTATAGTTTTTCCTCTTTTTGATAACCTGGCAAGGACCGGATTGATGCTTATCTCTGCTCGCGACACTCTCCCGTCGTCGTCTCGCGCCCTGCTTTAATTGGGATCTTGTCCTCTTCTGCTTGCTGTTGCTGTCACCCTTCTCACTCTCTATTAGCTGCTTTGTGCTCGAGACCGCCTCGCGTCTGTGTGCCATGGAAGAAGAGCTCTCCGATGAAGACCCCTCCGAAACCCGGCTTGCAGAGGCAGTTGGGTCGCTGACTCCACTTCCCCGCCTCACCGGCCGGCCGGTTGGGCATGACTGCACCTGGAAAGGGAGCAGCGTCACAAGGATCGTCGGAGTCCAGTGTGGTGGTGTTGGGAGGGATAAATACGCCTGGGGATGTTGGTGGGCCCAAGCTCTCCTAGACCTGGGTGCTGACATAGCTGTCCTGTCCGAAACGCGTATGTCTGGCGAGTGGCAGCACAGCGCTGCCATTCGAGGCATGCAAGATACAGGGTACATATGCCTCTCGCACAATGTGCCTCCCGCTTCGCGGCCCGGAGATGCCGATCCCCGCAGCTCTGGTGTGGCGATGGCAGTACGCCAAAGCTACACGGGACAATGGGCCAACATTTCGCTTGGCCCACATGGAAGGGCGATGGCCGCTTCACTGGCTCTTGACAACGGAGCGGGTCTGCGCATTGTTGGAATTTATGGGCCCACTGGTGCCTGTCTTCCAGGCTTTACCTCCAATGCCGAGGCCGTCAGGCAAGAAGCCGCAGTCGTAGCTTTCCTTCGTGACGAAGTTGAGAAGTCACAACAACAGGACCACACCCTGGTGGTCGTAGGTGATCTCAACTCGTTCTCGGACGGGGCACAGGACAAATGGCAGGGGCAATGGCAGGTGAGAGATGATTGCATCGCTGCCCAGTGTCATGCAATGGGGCTCATCGATACCTGGCGTTCCGCTCATCCGTCCCTGCCGGGCTACACCTATGTCTCCCCTACTGGTAGCGCTAGCCGGCTAGACCAAATTTGGGTATTACCAGCCGTTGGATTTCAAGTGCCTGTCTTCAACGTGTCATTGCTCTGGGATTGGCACAAGCGGGTAGACCACCACCCTGTCCTTCTCGATCTTGGAGTTGAGCTCCCCGAAGCACCTGCCGGGCCTGCAGACGGCGACCCTCCCTCCTGGAGGCGACTAGCCCAACTCACGCGCGAACCAAGACTCTCTGCTGCACAAGCAGAGGTGGCTCGCCGCCTTGACACCTATCGTGATGAGCTGGAACATTTGCACCTAGCCTTACTCGCAGTGGATGGTGCACTACGTTCATGCCCCCCACCTCTTGCAGAGCTGGGCATGCTGGAGCCTAATTGCTCTGCCTTCCCCCCCCGAGTATCCGCACGCGGACTTGTTTCCCAGCTGCATGACAACATTATGCATATTCTGCTGCGCGCGTTACCTGCCTCCCAACAACCCCTATACAGCCGCAAACGCGGTAGGGCCCAAAGTGCCTGGGACGATTGCATTTCTCTCCTGCGAACTCTTCGACAAGCACTCCTAGACATGTCTGCTGATGACAACGCCCTTCACCACTCGTCACTCCTGCAGGCCTCGGCCAAATGGCAGCAAGGCATGCACTTTCTCATGCGGACGTGCAGAGTCGTTGAAGCACGACCGTTGCTCGATTGGGATGGATTCCATTCGCGCCCTGCGGAGTGGCTGGAAGCCATCGGCGTCACTCAACATAGTGAAGCAGTTCATCTCTCACCTGTAGATTCCACACCCGCTTCAGACAGCACTGTACCCACAAGCCTGAAGTGGCCGGAGGCCAACATTTCCCGGCAAGCTCGCATGGAAATAGTAAGCACTTGGCTGGTTGAGGCGGAGCGACTGCGTGCCAAAACCGTCGCTCATGCCGCACGTGCAAGCCATGAGCGGCGGGTTACACTGCTGCGCAGCTGTAATCTCAAGACCT